AGACGCGAATCATGTTTTCTTCCAGTGCCACCTGGCCAGGTTTGTGTGGAGTGCAGTTCGGGAGGCCTTCCACACAGACTGGAACCCCGGTTCGGGGACACAATTGGTCTCGATTCTAAAATCCACTAAAGGGACCTCTAGCAGAATCGCCTGGCGTTGCGTAGGGGCGTTACTATGGGCACTTTCGACGACGCGAAACAAAATTACGATTGAAAAGAAATTTTCTAACCACCCTGCAGACATGATCTTCAAATGCCACCTATTTTTGCAGATGTGGACACCGCTGGGGAAGGAGCGCGATGCTGAGCGCATGACAGAAGCCATGGAGCGTATCAAGTCAATTCAGACGAGGGCCAGACAAAACATGACGAGTTGATGATGCTTTTGGAGCCTTCCGCGGTGTTTAGTCGTTTAGGTCATTGCTCTTGCTGGTCCGTGATGGTTATCATGTAGCGATGAACCTTGCTTTTGCTGCCCTGAGGGGTGTGTTGCTGAACCTGTTAGTGTGTAACCGTTTAACCTGGATGCCTTTCAGGCTTTATTAATTTAAAGCCGGACGCTTCTAGCGTCTTCGTTCTAAAAAAAAGATTGTAGAGAAGATCGAATCTAGCTTGCTCGCTGGCAGTATATATCTGTGTGGGCCGCACATCTCATCTCTTTGACTAACGTCCATACATTTTCGATGCGTTCAAACAAGAAAAACATTGGCTCCTCCTTTCTGCACTCATTGAGTATTTAACAAAAAACAACCACAATTCGTCCAATCATGCCTACAAACTATCACTTTACAAATTTGTACCGAAAACTATCAGTTTTTGACTAATCTTTGACAAAAAAATACCATGTCTGAAAAGTGCCCGATTCGGCCAGTTTAAACTTATGACAGGTTGGGCCCACTCATAAGCGCTGATGTGGCAGAGTAGTTAACTCCGCTAGATTGACTGTTATGACATGTGGAAGCAATATGTCAGCTCTATCTTCTTCCATGGAATTCCCCATCTACGGTCGGGTCCGCGTCTACAGGCCAGCGCCATTCTTTCTCTCTGCGGAGGCTCTGAGCGAGGGAAGGAGCGAGCTAGCAGCAGGACCACGTTCGGGACGCAGGTGGCGCTGATGAGGGTGATGGGGACGGGGTGGCGGAGGGCGTTCTGAACGTCGGAGCGCCGGGATGGGCAGCGGGGGTAGCAACCCATCGAGCCTGGCACCCATGACCCCACCGCAGACGGCGTCGGCGCTCGTGTCTACCAGGAAGCGGGTGGTGCTGCTGCAGGCCGTCTCGGCGCCGTCCTCGCCCAGAACCAGCTCCAAATTTGCGCTCTTCCGTCGATTTGGCTGGAGGTGGAGAAGGAGGTCGTTGAGCGATGGGATGGCTACAGAGAGGGGAAGGAGGTCAGCCCCGTGCGCGTCGCCGATGGCCGCGGAGGCGCGGGCCAGGGATGGCCACCAGGCACGAGGAGCTCCTTCCATGGCTGGGGTGGTGGGACGCCATCCGCACTCACCACGGACGAGGCATGATAACCATCCACCAGCTCGTGTGCGGCCGCTGCTGGTGCTCGCAGCCGCGACTGCTTGCGCCAGTCCGCGCTCTAGCGGCCGCTGCAGCCATGGCACTCCGGTGCTCTTCCTCTCCTCCTGTGACAAGGCCATGGCAACTCGTGCTCCAGGACGAATACAACCTACTCGAGGAAATGTCCCAAAGAAAAGGGAGAAGTGGTTGATGATGACATGTGGGTCGCACACGTCATAACGCAGAACTTACCGATCAATCTGACGGAGTTTGACTACTATGCCATGTCAGCACTTACATGCAGGCCATCCTTGTCAGAAAGGCGTTTAGAAAAGGTGAATGAGACATTTTTGAGACATGATAGTTTTTAGTCCAAGATTAGTCGAAAAGTGATAATTTTCGGCACAAATTTGTAAAGTGGTGGTTTGTAGGCACGGTTGGACGAATTGTTGTAGTTTTTTGTTAAATATTCGCCCTCATTGCATGGGAGAACAGTGATTGTTTTGCGCACCCAACTAGAACGGCCATTGTTTTCCCTTGTGCGTTCAAAGTAGACACGTACACCATTCCATCAATGTAGGTGATAAATTCTGAATTTCACAAATTTTGTTGTTGAGGCGCATTTGCGTAAAAATCAGCATTTGAGCTTTACTAAAAGCATCTACCGTCGGACTTATCAAATCTGACTCCCAAACGTGACGCGCTTGGTCAATTATCGGGCGTGTCCATTTTCAGCCATCTTTGTGTGTTCATGCATCCACATTTTTCATCTTCTTCCTCACATGTCTGGTAACTTACATGTGATTTGTGAACATGAAGAAAAAGAAAGAATAAACAAAGAAAAAAGATGATCTGGGGTGGGCCGCGTTCGGACTGATCGGATGTGACCGTGGCCCTCATATTCTTCCTACATTTTTCTTTACTATGAGGGTTTGTGGACAATACACACGTATAGGGATGATATGAGGGGTCCGGTTGGGTCTTTTTTCACTTCTCTCTTCTGTCCAGTCACTAACAGGTTGCATCCACAGACGCTTGAGGATTTGAAGATGTCGGCGGTAGATGCTCTAAGGGCAACTCCAACGTGCCGACGCAAACGGATGTGAATTTTGTTCGTTTTTTGTTCGTTTGGGTCGACCGAGTGGACGGGCATGTCCGTTTTTTCGTTCAGGTCGGTCGATGCGCCCAACGGTGGCCGAGCATTCTCCGCATGGACTCCAATTTTTTTGAATGCATACGTATAAACTAAACATAACTACACATTAAAATGGTCGGTCAACCGCCGGCCAAAGTCCACTTCAAATAATTAAATTAAATTTTAAAACTAAAAGAAGGAACTTGCGCCTCCCAGCCGCCCTAGGCGTAGCCATGGTCCGGACCGGTGAGGTCGACAAAGTTCAGAGGCCGCCCGTGTCGCCTCCTCGGACGTGTGCTACATCGGCGGATCTGGTGCACGGCATGCACACTCCTCCTCACACTCCCGACGTTCCTCCTAGCGTACCCAGCGTTGCCGACACTCCTCCTCGCGCTCCATCTAAATGCACAACGCTCGCCATTTTCCCGCTCCTCCGCCAGTGCGCGGGCCCTCCATTGCTGGAGGTACACCGCCTCCTGCTCCAGCATCGTGCCCCGCCAGACGGGTAGTGCGCTCACCCACTCGTGAACGTACCCCTGCCAGTGGTACTGCTCGTCGAGGCGGGTCGTGGTGGTGGCGTTGGCGTGGGCGTGGGCTCAAGGAGAGGCGGTAGTGGCGGGGGGTAGAAGTAGTCCCCCGCGGCCGACAGCTGGAGCGCCTCCTCCATGGCGGGCCAGCACGTATCCTCCTCGCGTGGGGACTCCTTGAGGGCAGCCTGGTATGCCGCCTCCACCTCGTGCTCCTCCAGCGCCACCACCTGGGACGGCGCAGGGATGTTGGCATCGATGTGGACGAGCTCTGCGTCAAAAAGCGAAGCGAGCCACGCTAGCGCGCTATTCTTCCTTTATGAGCGAGACTCTATCCAAAACTACTGATCTAAGGACTCTGCGAGTGAACTGAGTGAGTGGCACCGCGGCGGGCAGTGTCGTGCTTGGTGGCGAACCAGACTTCCTAGTTGAGGGGGTCTAGCGCGAATGCCGGGTTACAGCGCTGCTCCGGCGTCAGGAAGGCGCGCCGCTTGCGCACCTCCTCCGAGTGCGCGCGAGCTGACGGCGGCATCGTCGACACCGGGATGCGATGGGTGTCGAGGTGCCAGCCATGGGGGAGGTTCATGTCCAGCCATGGTAGCGCGCGCGGTGCATCGAGATGTACAAGCGCTCCCCAGCCGACACGCCCTCCCGCCGCTGGCACCAGCGCCCACCTCGCCACCAGTGGGCGTGAGGAGGAGCCCTCCTCCATGTTGGCCTTGCCCTTCCCTTTGACGCAAAAGAAGCTCGGGCTAGGGTTTCCTGTCATCGAGGTGGAGGCGAGTGTGACTAGATTTGGTACACGTGGACGGGGAAGTGGATGAGCCCCCACGCTTGCTATTTAAAAAGAAGTGAACTTCCGGATGCTTCCACTGGCCGCCACGCGGGCCCGAGCTGGTAGGTGGGCATTTAGTAGGACCGCGGGGGTGGTTGGACGGCTGACACGCGAGCCCGAGACGGACACCGAGCGGGCACACGGAGTGTCCGTCTTGTGTCGATGTGGAGGTAAATCGGACGCAAATTTAGGCCAAGAATGCGCCCAGGCGGACAACGAGCGGACGGGTTTTGGGTTTGCGTCGGCGCGTCGTTTTCATCCATTTTGATCTAAAGAGATACACGCGGACCAAATGAGTCGCCGCGTTGGAGTTGACCTAATAGAGGAAGAGGGAGGGGTGGCCGTGCAGCAACAAGTCCACCATTCCACCGAGAGGAGAGGTGGGTGGAGTGACGCATCAGAATTATATTTTGCCGACTTTGGTGGATAAGATTGAACGAGACGGGGAGATTTGAGAGCTGCTGTCTCCTAGCTAGCTCAGGTGGTAGCTCAGACTGTTTCATGAAATGAGGCCGCATGCATGCCTGAATAGTGAATACGAACCTTTTGATTCGTCGCCGCAGATCAAAAGAGATACTAGATTGCCTTCCCTTCCCGCAACAAAAAGAAAGAAGGGGAATATTAATATATAATATAGTAATAAAAGGAAAAAAAAGAAAAAAAAAGGAACGTTGGATAGACACGCAGTACACACACACTTTGGATTGGATATTACTACCCCCTGGCCCTGCCAGGGCCCGGCCCACGCTGTCACTGCTGGTGATGGATTTCATTTCTTTTCGGGGGAGCCATTCTATGCCAAACTTGGCGTTTGGACTCTACCACCTTTCCCCACTTGTTTCCCGTCCCCCATATAACACAGTACCACCCTCCACCTAGCTAGCTAGCTAACTTCTTCACCCCCACACGCTCTCACACTCCTCTCCTCACATACATAGAGAGAAGTGCGTACAGAGATCAAGCTGTTAGAAAAAGAGACAACTTAGAGAGAGAGAGATGATGGAGGTGGGCATGGCGATGGCGATGAAGGTGCTGCTAAGCCTATGCTGCGTGGGGGCGTGCTCCCTCGCGCTCTACCTCTACCACACCGTCTGGGTGGTGCCGCAGAGGCTTCTTGCTGGGTTCAGGAGGCAGGGCATCGGCGGCCCGCGCCCGTCTTTCCCTTACGGCAACATCGCCGACATGAGGGAGGCGGTCGCCGCCGCAAAGTCGGCTCCCCGAGCCGGCGGCCGCATCGTCCACGACTACCGCCCAGCCGTGCTGCCCTTCTACGAGAAATGGAGGAAAGAGCATGGTATATACTATGTGTCTCCGCCCATCACCTTATATATTTGCTTTATTCATCCTTTCAAGCATCTTCTTCCTGTTGCATACATATACATATTTGGCTTACTAATTTTTCAGTCAAGTTCTTTTTTTTTAAAGGAGACAGTCAAGTTCTTTTCCCTGAAAAACAAAGTCATCTTCATATTTCTCACCCCTCATGCATGCCCCTCGTCTGGCATCGGCCACCAAATATAAAGTTGAGTCATCTATTTTGAAACGAAGGGACTAGTTTGCAGCGTCGCTCCCAAAGAAGAGAGGGAGCTTATCTGAATTTATTTGTTTTTGTTGAGGGAAGGAGTTTATTTAGTAGTACTAAGGTCCTGTTTGGTTCATAAGTCTTAGAATTTTTTTTAGTCCCAACTTATAAGTCCCAAGTTCCTAAAAAGTTCTTACCTGTTTGGTTCCTGGGACTTATAAGTCCCTATAAGACCATATTACAACTATAAGTCTCTATAAGTCCCTCCTTGAGAGTCTTATTTCATAAGTTCCAAATGTCCACTTTAAGTCCCTATAAGTCCCTCCTGTTTGGTTTAGATGGGACTTATAGGGACTTTTTTAAGTCTCTAAGTCAACAAGTCCTGGAAACAAACACCCACTAAGCACTAACAGAGCCCAAAGATGCTTGATTGTTTACATTAGCACATACAGTACATATTTAGCCGAATGATTGATTCATTCTAGCGTTGGACACTAAGCTGGTGTAGCAACAAACATAGGTTGGCCATTTTAAAAATCAGGCATCATCAAGTGCAATCTCTCTCAGGACCCGGCAATGATGAGGTTCCAGCTGAGCGGTAGAGTATTAAATAAATAAACGGTTTCCTTAAATAAATCAACCTGTCAATCCGTATTTGTGATGTGGATCTTAAGTTAATTCTAGAAGTTGCAACGTTAACAGGTCGACTAAACTTGTGGCTGTATGCGACTCTCATGCTGTTGAATTTCAGAATTTGGCCTTTCCTGTTGCTGCATGACACTGTTGGATAGCAAGGGTGCATGTATATTAATGTTACTAGGTGAGCTGGGCGCCATCAGCTTGCAAGATTTAACTGATCTCTCGGACCCACCCTACTAAAACGAAACTGTGTGATGTAACAGCAGAGGACATGCATGCCCACAAAGAACAACAAACCTTCTCTATACGATATATTCCCTGCGTCCCAAAATAAGTGACTCAACTTTGTGTTAACTTTAGTACAAAATTAGTACAAACTTGAGTCATTTATTTTGGAACGAAGAGAGTAGTACTTTTATTATAATTTTTTATAAAAGAAAAAAACAAACCACGTAACTGTAGAGAGCTGAAATGAGTCAAGGCGATGAACTCCTTGTACTTGTAGATCCTATCCTCTAGTTTTGGCGTGATGCAAACGACATAGCCGTGAGCTAGCCACGTAGGTACGCAGCATGTGCATCCATCCGAGCTCCCTCAAAATAAATCGTGTTCGTCCTTGATGCATGCATGTATAGATACTCCCTCTGTTCCTAAATATTTGTCTTTCTAGAGATTTCAACCGATGACTACATACGGAGCAATATTCGTATGTGGTAGTCCATTTCAAACTCTTGAAAGACAAATATTTAGGTAGTTGTTAGCTTGCAAGTAACAATATGTAATTTGATGCACTAAGCAGAAAGATACAATCAGGTCACATGGAAATGGATCGATACCGGAGATCAGATTAAAAGTTCAGATTATATATCCATGATGATACATACGATACGATACGATAGATAGAGGCGAAACAAACAGTAGGCAGAGCCGACATATCACGTCAGGTGGGTGGGTACGCAACGCAACATAGAGTACAGTACGTACTACGAGACCACCTGTGGCTTCCCAACGCCAGCAACAGCAACGCCATCCATTCCTCCACCGGTGCGGTGTCTGCGCCGGGGTGGATCATGTCATGTGTGGACCGCCAGAGACGATTGGACCGCCGGCACGTCCATGTCGGCGTTGGGTCTTGGGAGCCGGAGCGGGAGCTATCGCCCCCGTGTGCGCCTGCATGCATGCGCGTGGGCTCACGCCTCATTTGGCCGCCGCTTTGCGGAGGGGCGCGTGATGAGGCGATCGGCCGATGGAGACGCCGCTCCCTCAACCTCTCAACTTGGCCGCCGGTTGTGTCGTCTCGTCTGTCCCATTCCGCACGCCTGCGCTTTCACCTTTTCTTTTCTTGAGCGGCGTGACTCGATCGCCATTCGCCGGGAGGAGCCGGACTCCTGTTGGATGCCCACCCTCGTGTCGGTTTACGGTCGTTCCGCCGAGGTAATCCAACAGAGTCGCCGATGGTGACCGGCAAGCCAATGGCAATGGCAACAACGATCCCTAGACAGATTCCTACTCTCTTTTTTTTCTTTTCTTTTTGATTGATTGATGAAACGGAATAGACACATCATTTTCACAACAGTACAGTACATCTTGATTCTACTACCTCCGTCTGGGTTTATTAGGCCTATAGACAACTTCTCTTAGACCAGTGTATGATGAACATGTATTTCTTTGGCGGGATTCCCTTCATTCATTAACCTGGTGGCTCGACATCAAGTGCAGGTCCAGTGTTCACTTACTCCATGGGGAACGCGGTGTTCCTTCACGTGAGCCGGGCAGACGTGGTCCGGGACATCAACCTCTGCGTCTCGCTGGATCTCGGCAAGAGCTCCTACCTAAAGGCCACGCACGAGCCACTGTTTGGCAGGGGCATCCTCAAGTCCAACGGCGAGGCATGCGCCCACCAGAGGAAGATCATTGCGCCCGAGTTCTTTCTCGACAAGGTCAAGGTACGTAGTACTGTAATTCTCAGCTCCAGCTAGATAATGCGTCGTGAGTCTTCTCATTAATTTGGACCACGCATGCCCAGCAGCAAAACAACATTCTGATCTAGCTAGATATATAGTGCCTGATAAGATTCTAATTATTAGGACCACTTTTACAATAAGTACTCCTGCACTGCATTATTCTGCGCTGCTGTAGTGCTCTATTTAAGAGCAGCATATACTCCCTCCGTTCCTAAATATTTGTCTTTTTAGACATTTCAAATGACTACTACATACGGATGTATGTAGACATATTTTAGAGTGTAGATTCATTCATTTTGCTCCGTATGTAGTCATTTGTTGAAATGCCTAGAAAGACAAGTATTTAGGAACGGAGGGAGTAGTATACAGCTAGACTCATTTTGTATCTTCATATATTATAACCAAAACCAGGGAATGGTGGATCTGATGGTAGATTCTGCACAAACACTGGTCGAGTCATGGGAAACTCGGGTGGACAAAAGTGGCGGCACTCTAGACATCAAGATTGACGACGACATACGAGCCTACTCTGCAGATGTCATCTCCAGGACATGCTTCGGAAGTAGCTACGTCAAAGGAAAGAAGATCTTCTTGAAGCTCAGAGAGCTGCAGAAGGCCGTGTCCAAGCCAAATGTGCTAGCTGAAATGACTGGCCTAAGGTGACTAAGATCTGAAATGTAGAAACTTTCACAATTCACCATTTTCGTCGGTGACTAAGATCCTCATTCTGAATGTTTGCAGGTTCTTTCCTACCAAGAAGAACAGGCAGGCGTGGGGGCTTCACAAGCAAGTGCACAGGCTGATACTAGAGATCGTCAAGGAAAGCGGGGAGGACAAGAATTTACTGCGTGCGATCCTTCACAGCGCAAGCAGCAACAAGGTGGGGCTCCGCGAGGCAGAGAACTTTATAGTGGACAACTGCAAGAGCATATATTTTGCAGGATACGAGAGCACAGCTGTAACAGCTGCCTGGTGCCTAATGCTCCTTGGCCTGCACCCAGAATGGCAGGACCGGGTCCGCCAAGAGGTCCTGCACGTCTGCGGGGGGCGTCCACTAGACTCCCAATCACTTCACAAAATGAAGAATGTATGTATGTATATATGTATGTCTATATGAATGTATGTATGTATGTACACGCAGTCTTCAGAAACTAATACCTTTGGAAATGCAGCTGACGATGGTGATTCAGGAAACCCTGAGGCTGTACCCAGCAGGCGCCTTTGTGTCAAGGATGGCCCTTGAGGAACTCAAGCTCGGGGGTGTGCACATCCCAAAAGGCGTCAACATCTACATCCCTGTCTCCACAATGCACCTCGACCCCAAGCTGTGGGGTCCTGATGCCAAGGAGTTCAACCCGGCACGCTTCTCCCACGCTCGACCCCAGCTCCACTCTTACTTGCCCTTTGGCGCCGGCGCTCGGACCTGCCTCGGCCAAGGGTTCGCCACGGCGGAGCTCAAGATACTCATATCTCTCATCATCTCCAAGTTTGCGCTCAACCTCTCGCCGCTCTATCACCATTCCCCAGCACTGCTTCTTCTACTACTACATACTAAGAGAGGCAATGTGGCCTGGATATAATAATAATAATGTTAGCAAACGTCCTGGCTCATGCAAACAAATTTCTACCTACGTACCTAGTTTAATCAGTGAATGCAGCTTGCTTGCCTGAGAGAATGTACAGATACACACGTTCGAATTTGTAAGGTCCAGCTTAAATACTTTTGTCTGACAAACAAAACGCAAACCTCTGTCCAACTTGCAACACAAAATACACGAATGAGTCAATCATCCTTCTCCCGTAGCTTGATCATCATCTGAAGTTGAGAAGCCCAGGATGAGTTTAAATATAATAAAAGCAGTGCCGGCATAATGAAATACTACAACAGAAAGCACCTTCACAAAAACAACCGAAAACAGAAAAAGGATATACAATCAACAACTAAGACGGCAAATAAGGCAAAACTGCACAAAACGTTGGTTCTGCCACCAGATAATGTCATTAACCATAAGCAGTACCCAGGTTTAAATTATTGTGAACATTTACATGGTGATTAATGTAGCGCAAGTGCATACCCCCACACCAATAGCAACAGATGCATGCACGATTCAGAAGTCATACAGGAGGAAAGATTACCCTCAGAGCAAAGAGGGATTTACAGCAACAAAGCCAACAGGCAACATTCAAGTCAGCGTGAACATCCTTGCAGCAACTTTTGAACACAATTAGCTTTCACATAATGCTGGAACTGAAATCAGTTCAACCCAACAGCTGAGACGCGACAAAGAGCCTCAGCCTGACACCATTTTCACAACAATGATAAGAACATTAAGCGCTATCAAGGGCATCCGCAAAAACTGAGTGGCGTAGATGAGCCCCACAATCTGCCCCTTCAACGACTTTGTTTGCCCGTTTCCTGAAACTTCAGACATGCTCCATCCCCTGGGGCCAAGAAAGCGGTCTTCATTCAGGATCGCCAAAGAATTTGCAAGAAGCAAAAAACCCTCCAGCAGCATCCACAAGCCCATCTCTGTATATGAACACCATAACTCTGTTAGTTGAAAATTTCGGTACTTATGTGCCACCAATCATAACTGAACCAACAGACAATTCTGTCAGCATGGATTCAACATAGCAAAGTAACATCATCTTCTGAAACATAAACATGACTGGACAAGAAAATACACAAACACATACGTTATGACTTCCACCAGGCCCAGATGTGGCACTAGAATGTTAATGATATACCATGAAGTTTCTAAAGTAAATTTCAAGGTTCACTGGGAAGGATCCCTCCGTCACAGGAATGCCCATGTGAGCAAACCATCACTATGGAAATAAGGTGACCAACACTGAGAAATTCACACTAGGGAGTATATGGACAACTAGGGAATTTCTGAAAATCACACTAATTAATAGGGAATAATCCAAGGACTGCAAACCAGGGTGCCGTACCAGGCGGGCAGGCCTAGCGCGAAGCACAGGGCCCATATTTTTCAAAAATAAACTGCTATTACCGTCAAAAGGAATCGAAATCAGATGGATGTTTGACTGGTGGTGGGGATTTGAAGTTCCAAAAACAGGCTTATGGATTACGGTGGAAATAAACTAAGGTAGCGAGAAGCCCTGAGCCCCCGACAAATTGTTTTTCTTTTCTTTTCTTTTCGGCTTATGGAATTCAAGCTTACTATCAGTCTTGAGTTGTGCAAAGTGTTTAACACCCCTAGACTTTGATGGTCTTTTTTGATTTATATCGTGGCCATATAGGCACACAAAACAGCAACCAAACCAGCAGCTTGCACTATCAGCATATCTCAGTATCTTGGGTCTTGCCTTTGTCATCCATCTATATAAAATTATAAATTCAACACAGATTTATAAACTAATAAAGGCATGGGCACTGATAATATTGACATCATTTGCATCATCAAAACAAAATAAAATATATGCACAAATTATTCAGGAAGTTAACATATTGAATTTTTGTGATTGCATCACTATTTTTTTCTACCTACTGATTCCTTCTAATTTCCACAAGTTAGCATACTCTTGGGACAGATCACACAGATCCATGATAATCACAACAATTACTAGCCCAATAGCTCACATAGATGCATGCTAATCACACAGATCCATAGGAGGAGAAGGAGATTCGGGACAGAGCTTGTGGATGGCGGCTGTGGGCATGCGTGTGCGTGCGGGGCAGGGGTGAACGCACGTGCTCGCGCATGGGTGCGTGTGGGTGCTCGCGCCTGTACAGGAGCGAGGGGAGCATCTCCCATGGCCACGGCGGCCGGAGCTCGGCTCCGACCAAAACGCACGAAGGGAACGGCAGCACCTAGCCTAGCCGCCTGCTCACATCCGCATCGGCAGAAGCAGCAGCGCAAGGGGCACAGAGAGATGAGAGGGATCCGAGAGGGGCGGGGGACAGATGGAAGAGGGATGGGAGGAGGAGAGTTCAACCTCTGCGCGGTGAGGATGCGCGCCGGCGACGTGCTTGCGAGGCGACGGGGCGACGAGATCCGTCCGCAGGAGAGAGGAGAGGAGTGAGGAGAGCGACGCGAATGCGGGTGTGAATCGACAGGGAGAGAAACCCTAGTCCTCTTGCTCACGTGGGTGCAGGCGTTTTCTCACACAACCTTGCAAACTTTATTAAGTCGTCACAAGCTTACATGACGAAGAGAAGATCCTAATGGCGAACAGCTCCTAATAAGAGACCATGCTTTATGAGATTATTATTTTTTTACGGAAAACTGTCAAATCTATTCGACTTCAATCATGGCAGTACAACAAACATCAGAAATAATAAAAATTACATCCAGATTCATAGACCACCTAGCGATGACTATAAGCACTGAAGCGAGCCGAAGACGCGCCGACGTCATCGCCCCTCCCTCGCCGGAGCCGGGCAGTGAAGTCGTCGTGCTAAGGTCCATAGGACCAACGCCTCAGAACAGCAACCGCCGTCGATGAAAAGAATTTTAGATCGGAAGGATCCAACCTGAAGACACATGAACAAAGACGAACAAAGACCGGATCCGAGCGGATCCACCAAAGACAACCACCGACCAAATCTCGCGAGATGGGCTGAAGACACACCTCCACGCGCCCTCTGACAATACTAGACACACCATTGGGACGGGGGCTAGGCGGGGAGAACATTATTCCATATTTACGAAGCCGTCGTCGTCTCGTCTTCTTGAGCAGGACACAAACCCTAACAAAAGTTGAAGAAACGCCTGAAAACGGAGCCCTCCCGTCGGCAAGGGCCAGGATCCAACGCGCACACATGGCCCTAAGGCCACAGGAGACGTTGGAGATCGGCGGCGCCACCGACGGGAGGCAAAAACCCTAGCCACCTTTTCTTGGAGGAGGGACAAAGGAAGGAGACGCAGGCTCCCCGTGCTTTTATGAGATTGTGAGCCTTTACATTTGGGATTCTAAATTCATAACTAAGAACATCTCTAACAGACCCCATATACTCGTGCGAACTATAAACTTCGGCGACTATACGGGTTTGGCCCCCATAAACAATTTTATGGTGGCCCACAACCCCCTCCCCCCCCCCCCGACGCGATATATCTAGGGGTTTGC